GTACACAATAAATACTATTCAACTATTGTGTTGCTAGCTTTACATATTTTCTTTTGCAATAAAAATAGCTTTTCCCAAAAGGAATAAAAACTAAAACAAAAAACTCAAACCTCCAAAAGTTAACGTGTTGGTTTTTCTTCTCAGAAATAACAATTTGTTCTGCTTCTCATCAGTCCCGGTTAGGCTCTCTGTAGGACTTAACCAAGCAACTCCTAAGATCCAAGTTCACTTAAATTCCTACAAGCAGCGGTACCACCAATAAAGACTTCTCTACTCTTCCTTTGCCTCCACATGCCCAGGCTTGGGCTTCTGATATTGTGAAAGCATCCACATTTATTTTCCTACCAGAGATTGTGATTTGCCCCAAAGGAAGCTTTTTCTTCCATTTTGTGTAGCGTGAGCTGTAACTAACTATGAGAGTGGTCTCAATGGCATCTCCAAGGCCAGAGGAAAGCTGCTGATGGAATTCAAAATTCAGATCTGAAGCCTATGACTATGGTTACTGGGAGTGATTGACAGATTGAGGCCAGGTATCAAACAGACCTTAGATATTGACAGAACCTCTGCTCATTGGAATGACCTCTCACTATGAGGGCAAGTGATCAATTACTGTGTACCTTCACTAACTTCAGAAACTCTCCTAATATTCCCTAATTCCATCGAACAGTATTTTTTTTTCCTCCAAACCACACAAAGCACCCGTAGCCCTTCACTAGGAAATTAAAGTTTATTTTCAATTTCCTCAGGCAAGGCAAAAGCAAGGGTAAATTAACAGTCTGTAGCTTGTCTGGGACTAGAAAAGCATTGAAAATGTAGTGGGGAGTCACAATGTAGGAAAATTGTCCAAAGACAATGCAATATTTAGCTGATGGTAATCTCAGACGATACACTGGCAGGACAGTAGCAGTTGGATGAACGGGCAATATCTCTGGAAGCAAAGGAAAAGAGGAGAGGGGAGGCAGTTATTGCAAAGAAAAAAGCCATGGTTTATCTGTCTATACCAATCTAATATACTAGATGACACAGTATCTGTCCGTTTCACTGGGTCCAAAATAGTCAACTCACTGTCACATGTAATTTACTCATTGTAAAGTAATAGTTTTCTGTCTTTATTTCTCACCTGAATACCTTCTGTTCCCAGCCCTTTCTTTTTAATAACATCATCTTTTTCTTACCATGACAATAATTCTTGCATGTATCTATTCTACACATTTTCATTGAATTTCTACCATGAGCAGGCACTATGTGAGGCACAAAGGAAAGAATGGGCAATAAAAAATGGTCAGGGATTGGCCGGGCGCGGTGGCTCGTGCCTGTAATTCCAGCACTCTGGGAGGCTAAGGAGGGTGGATCACAAGGTCAAGAGTTCGACACCAGCCTGGCCAAGATGGTGAAACCCTATCTCTACTAAAAATACAAAAATTAGCCGGGTGCGGTAGCAGGCGCCTGTAATCCCAGCTGCTCAGGAGGCTGAGGCAGGAGAATCACTTGAACCTGGGAGGCAAAGGTTGCAGTGAGCCGATATTGTGCCACTGCACTCTAGCCTGGGTGACAGAGCAAGACTCCATCTCAAAAACAAACAAACAAACAAACAATGGTCAGGGACACAGGTAAATTAAAGAGATAACTACACTTCAGTGCTGTGATACGAGGATGTAGTAGGGGCTCTCAAAGCACAGAGGAGGGGGCCTAAGCCAGGGTGAGGAAGGCTTTTTGGAGGGGGCAATAGATAAGCTAGTTTTGAAGATAAAATGGCTTAGATGGTAGAGGAAACATCCTATAGCACCTTTGATCCCTCTTAGATAAAAGAGCTGTTAACATATATGTGTGTTTTCCTTCAGTATTTTAAACACACACATACATACACACACACACACACACACACACAGATTGGATTTATAGATATCATAATGATCTAGATGTACATAGATTTATAGAACTGTGATCTATATAGGATTCGATGTTGTTTTTCCATGTCTTTAAACATGTGTTGAAAACATGGATTTTGATAGATTAATATTATTATATTCAATAGATGTTTCATAATATTTTTGATCATTCTTTGTGTCTGTCAGAGTTTTTGTTTGTAAGCCACAGAAAACAACACTGGCTATATTAAGCAAAAGATGAATTTACTGGAATCATATTAGGTAGCTGTAGGATCTATGGGAGGCAAGGAAAAATAGGCTAACAAAAGGGACAGAAATCAAGATAGGCTCAGCAGTGGGACCCCTAGCCAGGGCTGACCACAGAAACAATCTGTCCCTGGAATTTTTGTTTTCTATACTTAGGTTTCAATGTTCTGAATAGGGGCCTCTTGCTGACCAAGTCTAAGTGATGTGTCTTACTTTACCTACAAGGGGACAGAGAGTAGGAAGCATTGCTCCATTTGATTCTGTAGTGAGAAGTAAGGCCGTGACTCCCATTAAGTGTCCCCACTGGGGTCCGTCTCTCAAACAGCAAAGGCATTAGGATGTGGTTAGCAGGAAACCACCAAGAGCATCTTACTACCTCCCCATTGTTAGATGTTTGGGCTGTTTCCTTTTTTCCCCTTTTCTATTGTACTACAAAACTATGAAACATTTTTTTTCTCCAAAATTATTGAGTACCTCTCTGATTATCTCTAAGATAAATTCTCTAGAAATTGAATTTCTGGATGAAAGAGTATAAATATTTTCTCGTCTCTTAATAGATACTGCCAAATTGCTTCTCTGAAAACTTGCATCAGTTCAAGCTCACTCTTGGAGTGGGTATGAGGTATGCCTGGTTTCTTACCCAGCTTTGGCATGATTATTTTTAGGAATCATCACGCCCACGCCTTTCTAGGCTGTACTCATTTATGCAGCCTGTACCTCACTTAAATTATGGTTATCTGAAGTTGAAACACCTAGTGGCAAAGTGAACAATTGAGCAAAGAAGTTCTTTATTTTCTTACGTTTATTTGTGATAATTACTTTTATTGATTTTCTTCCTCATTCATTTGATTAATACAGGGGCTGCTTCTTTTAATATGCTGTACAGAAGCTGTTTCTTTTTCTCTTCTGGAAAGATAGCATTTACAAAGCGGCAAGTGTATCTGAAATAACGAAAGATTGAGTTCTAGAAATGAGGTTCTAGGAGGTGCCCACCCTGGCTCGGCAGGTGGCTCTCATGGATGCTGTCCAGGGTATCTCTCCTGGGAATGGGGGAGAGCTCATCTCCAGAAGCAGGTCCATTCAGAAGTCGTAGCAGTGATTCAAACCCTATGGCCCCTAAGTTGGGAGGAACACGAAACCCAGAGAGGTGATGAAATATTTTGTGACTTTTGTATTAACTTAGAGGAACATCTTTCTAGCAAGAAATTGGAACGCATGAAAAATATTAGGGCCTGGGCTTCCATCAAGAGAGTCCTGATGATGCCCAAGAAGGACAATTGATGAAGAATCAAACACAGGGGATTTTAGGGCAGTGAAACATCATATGGCAATTGAAGTATCATATTACATGTAATACTATAATGGTAGATACATGATGTCACACATTTGTCAAAACTCATAGACCTATATTGCACACAGAGTGAGTTCTAATGTAAACTATGAACTGAATAATAATGTATCAATATTGATTCATTAATTATAACAAATGTACCACACTCATGCAAGATGTTAATAACAGGGAAAGCGGTGTTGGGGTAGGGGACTGTATATGGGAACTCTCTGTACTATCTGCTCAATTTTTCAGGAAATGGAAAACTGTTCTAAAAAATGAAGTCTATTAACTAAAAAACATTTCAAAAATACACCCAGAGAAGTACAGTGTATTCAGGAAGTAGCATTTGACTAGAAGTCTGGGTCCCAGAATGCTGGTCCTGCTTGGCCATTCACTAGCTGTGTGGCTTTGGAGAAGTCACTTCACCTCTCTGGATTTGACCATAGAGTTGGACCACATGATCTTTAAACCAATCCTCCCTTCTGATAGCATAAGATCTCAGGATTACTTACTTTAGATTTGTCACCCTTGTCCAGATTTTGAATGTCAGTAGTAATCAAAACATGCCTTTCACTTTGCTGTCTGGCAAGAAATAATGGAATGAATAAAACGCAAGTCTTTCTCCCTTACCCTGGAGCTCAGAAGCCTCTCTAGAGCTAGCAAGACCCATATAAAAGTCAGGCATAAGGCAAATAAGGCAAGCTGATTTTTTTTTTCCAGATAAAGTTGATTTTGTTTTCTCTTTGCATAATTTGATTTTAATGTTCTGCCCTTGTTAAGTTCTCTCCCACTTGTAGACATTTACACAATGGGTTATAATCATATTATTGTATTGTTGATCATTAACCATAGGTTAACCTTTTAAATGGACTTATGTAGCTTATTAAGTATGCCATTCACGAAGACTAGAGATAAGGCCTGGTTTTGGATCATGGGTATGAACAAACATCTCTGGGTATCTGTGCTTGGCAGGTAGCCAACTTGATGCTGAGCTCTGATTGGTTGGATGCTCTTGGGGCCATGCGACCTCAGGTCCAGGCAATGGTGCACGTTCATGGGTTGGTGGGCTGAGGCAACCTCACTGGTCTTGAAGGAATGTCGATCTCATTGGAAAGTGTATATAGCAAAGAATAATTTTCAATTTTCCCTAAGTAAATATCTGGCAAAGCCTAGAATTGGATCATGTCCAATTCTGCCGATAAAATGCCCCCAAACACATTTGCCCTGAAGCAAGGCTGAAAATATATGCACATTTATATTTGTCTAATTTAAGCAAATCTCATTAATGTGAATAATGCAGAATAATGTACAGTGATGTAGTGGTTTATATTCTCGTGCTCGTCTAGAAGGGAGTTCATTATGGTCCAACAGGAGGTTAGCACTTACTGAGGCTCTTTCTATATGAGGTCTTTACACATGTAAGCTCTTACTTAGTCCAGGAATAGCAAATACACAGCAGCACTTGTACCTCAACTCTCCCTCCTAAGCTCAAAGCAGACATTACTAATGTAAAATGACATTCTTGCCTGCAGAGATGGCAGTAGCCCTCAAAGGGGGCTTGTAAGAAGAACCTCCCTGCCCAATGAAGTCAACAAGCTTATCTTCATGGGAAGCCACCTTTCCTGGAGAAGAAAGATCTTGCTTCTTGGAGATGACTGTCTTTAAGCTCATGGACTAATATACAGGTTGTTAAATTGACTTTCATCACATTCTTAGAGGCTTCACTGAGTCCCCAGAACAGAGGTCAGTGATTGTTAAGCACCCATCCTTTCTGGAAAACATAGATGCTAGACATATCCTTGGGAAGTTTCTGAGAGAGAGAGCAAAAATGGTCCCTCATGTCCATCATTCACATCCATGCTGTGTAAGAGAAAGAAAACCAGACATTTAAAGATAGAATTAAATGAAGGGATGTCTTGGGAGTGAGTAGTTCTCTCCAACCACCACTACTACTTCCAGTCAAATAAAAGAGCTGCAAGAGTAAATGGTGGAGGTATTTGGGATGCGTTCCTCTGCCTAGAAGATGCTGAAAGCTGGAGGCTGGCTGGAAATGACAGTGATGGTGGGGCTAGGAGACAGGGTGGCAGGAGGAGCAACAGCACTTATATCATTTGTGGGGCAAGATAAATGGGTTTTCCCGTGGGCTGAGTAGACAAAGAGGAGGGCAGTCAGGCTCAGCCTCTCTGAAAGGGCTCCACCCCAGAGGGCTGCCTGTCTGTTTTTTTTAATCCAAATGTCAGTTCAAATGTTACATCCTCAGAGATGCCTCCCCTGACCACCAGGGCAATAGAGTGTTCCCTGTAGTCACACTTTATTACACCACCTGGTTTATTTCCTTGATACTACTTACAATATAAACTTATGTTTTCCTTTGTTAGTTTATTTATTGTCTGGTACCTGTCCAAAGTTTCACAGGAAGAATTAGAGGTGGAGAAGTGAGGATTTGGGGAAGGAATCTCAAAGAGGATATTCTTTACAAAGTAGAATCGTCTTACTAAATTTAAGTTCCATGAGAGCAGGACTTTATTCATCTTATTCACCACTATTCCAGGTACTTGGAATAGAACCTGGCACATAGTAGCTACTCAACAAAAATGTGTAAACTAAGTACATCTCTGCAAGCAAGAGCCCTAAGAGATAAATAGACTGGTTCTGAGAATGGCATTTTTTCCAGTCCATGGCCTGCTTGTAAATGTCTGTGTTAAAGGGTGTAGAGGGAGAAGCAGGTAGGAACCATAAACTGGAATACATTTTTTGTCCTCTCTGGTTTTCTATTATGCCTGTGCTTCACTGTCTGGATAACCAGGAAGTAACACTTTAGGGAAGGTTTTTCCTTCTCCTTTCCTCCTAGTCTCTTCTTATAATCTGCAAAGTCTGCTGGCCCCTGGAAACTCACATGGCCACTTAGTTGGTTTTGATTGATTGGATTGGCAGTGATGAGCTCTCCCCAGCTTTGATATGCCTCCAGGCTTCAGGGAAAGTTGAGCCCCTGGCCAGATGTTTGGAGACAATTTGGAAAGGTAGAAATATACAAAGGATATGCATTTGCTAGTGTTATTTGTGGCTTTTGTGCACATCCTCCTGAGTCATGTTAAATTAAAATCGTTTACTTTAAGCAAGTGTGTGTCTTCAGTAATTGGGACCACCAAAAAACAAATTCATTGAAAAAACATGGGTAAACCAGGGTGTTGTAAAAGCCATTCATTTCTCATGCTTTTGGTTAGAATCACAAATTAAATATCCATAAACCTAGTCATACAGTGAAGTGAGAAATTACAGCCTTTTCTTTCTGTAAGAATTTTTTGAAAGATTGAAATAAAAATCAAAATACATTTGAACAGCACTTTCCAGTTTACCAGCACTTCTACCTATATTATATCATGTGGTTGAAAAAAGACAAATCATTTAGTAAACTTTAAACTGATAAAGTCATAAAGCTGAAGAAACTTCTGGCTGTTCAGTGAGTAAATGAATGTTTGAGTGGAATGTGGAGACAGAATCATCATGATGATTAGATTAGAATTAGGATTGTACATCAGGTTGACCTTGAATCATGGATCACATAACAGAAAGTTAGATAAGGCTGCTTTGAGAACTAAAATGACCAAAAAGTGCAATCATATCCATGTTAAGGTTTGTGGAGCCCAGAGTAAGACTAATAGAGAGACCTATTTACATATGTATGAATATTTAAAATGTGTAAATAAAGCCAGAAAACTGTTAAATTAAAATATAGTCGATCCTTCTACCTTGACAAGTAGGACTTCATGACTCTCTGGAAGGCCAGATTTGAATTGTGAATTCTTGGATGCCTCAGGTGGATGTTTCTGACGGAACATGGAAGGGTAAGATGAGTCTCACTTGGTGCCACCTCCTTCCCTTTTCACTCCCAGCTCTATCTTATACCACAGGGACCTCAAGTGCAGGCAAGTGGATATCCCAATCCCACATCCAATCTCCATCCACACCTCGTCAGAAAGGTGGGCCCTGGGGAAGAGGTCTGCCTGGTCCTCAGAAGTGAACTCAAGGCCATTAAGTCAGGCAATTCCAGGGAGCTGGGTACTTAGTATGAAGAAGATGGGTGCAGGCTCTGGGTGCACATGTTTCCTTGGGCCCTGAGAGTCCTCACTCCATAAGGAAAGGTATAGTCAGAGGAGGAACAAACAGGCCTCTCTAAAGTGCAGGAACCTGGGCAGGGCCCCTTGTGCCTGGATCTAAAGGTAGTACCAAATTTAATGATAGTTAGTGCTATGGTCTGAATGTTTGTGTGCCTCCCAAGTTCATGCATTAAAATTCTAACCCCCAAGGTGATATTAGGAGGTGAGGCTTTGGGAGGTGATTAGGTGATGGGATTAGTGCCTTCTATAAAAGAAGCCTGAAGGGACCTTCACCCCTTACTCCAGATTAGGTTACAATAAGAAGACAGCTGTCTATGAACAAGGGAAATGGGCCCTTATCATATGCCAAATCTGCCAGTGCCTCGATTGTGGACTTCCCAGCCTCTAGAATTATGAGAAATAAATTTATGTTTTTCATAAGCCACCTACTTTCGGGAGTTTTTGTTGTAGAAGCTCAAACAGACTAAGATAGTTGAAGTTAAACTGAGCGTTGTTTGCTTCTCAACTTTTTTCTTAGGTACTCTTTCCTTTACGTGAAACATTTGTAAATAGTATAGTACCTAAAGCTACACTAACCAAAGACCTATTTTAAGTGATGCTCCATTTAGCTTTAAAACACATATTGAAAGGGGGCCACTTGGGATGAAGAATTCAGTAGTTAGGACAAACGAACCAAAATTTGAAATAGAAAACAGATAAAACATTCCATTTCTAGTCTAGACAGGTGAACTAAAAGAGCTATAATACCATAATAGTGTCTTTCAAAGTATAACTTCTTGTTTCCAAAACACTTTCACTTGTATATGTATCATTGAGTTCTTGTGAAATTAAGATATATGTACTCCAGACAAATATAAAAAGGAACACTTGACACTGTGAGGAGTAAATTTATAGAACTCCATTAGCCAAGGAATGGTGGAAATGAGAGGTGGAACAATGTAGAAAGAGAAATCAAAGGCACTAAACAGGCTTCAGCCTGGGCCAGCTCTGATCTTTGGATAGTGGCCCCTGAAGTGCTTGACTGAGAAAATCTTTCGTCGTGCCTGGCCTCAGTGGTTGGTAATAAATTAGCCATGACTGTTACAATCAAAGAAGGGGGCCATGACGGTATGTGGGCTGTGAATGTGCCACTTCTGGGCTGGACGAATGCACGTGGCTGACAGTAAGGGCAAGCAGGATGCTTGGGGTTATCCTTAATCTTTTGAGGTTGTTGACAAGGAGAACAATCAATGCAAATTCTCAACAAGAATTCTCATGTTTTTGAATATTTCTGTCTTTCTCTAGCAAAAACAATTTGGGTTTCTTGGAAAAAGAAGTTGCTTTCAACTTACTTTCTGATATGGAAAAAAGATGAGATAGACACCTGTTAAGGTGTTAATTGGTGATGACCGGATAAATAGAAGACCTGGATTCTTTTCTCATCTCTGTCACTAACTAGGTGTGTGACTTTGAGCAAATCCCTTAACCCCTCCAGACCTCTATTTCCTTGTCTCCAAAATAGGGATGTTATCTGAGTGATCTCTTAGAGCTTCGTGAGGCTTAAAGGAGTTAGTAACAAGGCAATCACTTGAAATATAAAACATTACACCGTTGTAAACCATTATGATTCCACTGAAAAATTAGCACATTAGTCTAGGGTAGCATTTCCCAAAGTGTGTTTTTGGAACATCAGTTCTATGGGATGTCAACTGGTATTATGCTAAAGCTATCTAACAAACAAACAAACAAAAAAGTGTTTTCTGGCCAAATAAATTTAGAAAACTCAAGGCTAAACGAGCTTACATAGGTATTTTACCACATAAATTATTAGTCTTAATAATTTAATGTGCATTGTGAATCATTAAAATGAGGAAATTATATGCAGTAGTTCAGACACTTCTGTGGACATAAAACTCTTATTTTGTCAACATATTAGCCTTTCAGAACACAGTCCTTTGGAAATTATTAAACAATCTACTCTTCAAGTTCTCTTCTGACTTGAATGCCCTCTGATTCATTCATTTATTCGACAAATTATTATAGAGTCCCTGTGATATGCCAGGCACTGTTCAGTGTAAAAAAAAAATACATCAGTGTACAATACAGAAACAAATGCTTGCTTTCATGGAGCTTACATTCTAGCAGGATTTGATGTCACTCACTCAAAGTGTACTCATGCTTAGAGAAGTCACTGCTATCCCTTAACTCAAAGATATAAAGTTGTAAAGTAGAATCATTAAAAACAGAGAAAGGCCAGTGGGGAAGGATAGTTTGTGGGGAAAGTAGGGAAGACTGCGTATCACTGTGCCTCCCTATCCCTCAGCCTCTGAGTCGAGGTTAAACTATGAACTCAGATCTGAAGAAGCAGATGACTTCTGCATCAGGGGCACACAATCCCATTTGTTTATTTGTTTATTCATTAATGCCACTATTCAGCATATAGTTATAGGCATGATATATGTCATACACAACAATGCGTAAGACCCAATTTGTACCCCCAGAGCTGACTTCCAGGTGGGCAGGCAGATCAGGACGAGAGATTGTGCCTGTGTGTTATATGTGCTATGGGGGAAATGACAAGGTGATATGGGGGCACATTACAGGGGCACTGAACCCTAGACATCAGAGAAGACATCTTAAAGTGACATTTAATTTAAATTATCCAGAGGGCAGTAGGAGTTTGTCTAGTAAACTGGCTTAGGGTGAGTTGGGGGAAGCAGTGAATAGGAAAAGCACTCTAGTCAGTGGACACAATATGTACCTAACAAAACTCCCATGACAAGTTTTACACAGTGGAACTGGCGCTAAAGACATATGTATATATTAGAGTTCTGTGTATGACTTTCTTTGAAAAAGGTTCTGTTGTTGCAATAAAACTTGAAAACCATTAGTGGTTTCCCAAAGGAAATTTTTGAGGCTACTGTCATGTTTATAATTCTTAAATTCTACTGCTTACATAAGTCTTTCTGTCAAAAGTATTTGCATTTTCATGGGGAATTTTGGAAGACTGCAATTTCTTTCAAATCTGAGGTGCACATTGCTGCTGGCAGATGGTATTCGTTGAAATGATTTTGGTTATAAATGACAGAAACCTCAATTCAAGATGACTTTAGCAAAATAGGAAATTAATTATCTTACATGACAAAACAATTCAGAGAACGTTTGATCCAGAGACTCCAAATCCAGTCTCTCTCTCTTTCAGTTGTCTGGGCTTCATTCTCAGTCTCAGCATGGCGGCAAGAGGGCTGCCAGTGTCTCCATGTCTGCATCTTTCATGTCCAATTCTAGTGGAAAAGAGGGTTGTCTTCCTGAAGCTACCACATAAATCCTTGTATTCACTCTGATTGTACCATCTTATCTCATATGCTCATTCCCAAACCAATCACTGTAGCCAAGAGGGTGAAACTACGGAGATTGGATAGGCCTGGATCACATAATCCAATCCTGGAGCAGGAAGTATAGTGCCATCCAAACCACATGACTGAGAATGATTTCCTAAAAAAATTCCTAGGGCTATAAGCAGAATAGGCAGGGAGGCAGAAGGGGAAGGAGACAGAGAGAGAGATAGGGAGAAAGAAAGAAAGTCAAGAAAGAAGGGAAAAAAGAGAAGTATCACAGAAAAAAGGAAGAAAAAAATCTCCCATTTCCTTTTAACAAATGTAAAAAATGCATAACACTATGAAGAATTTTTGGTTGTTAGAAATGGAAGGGAAGTAGGAAGAAAAGAGGAAGCATTGTGAATTGACACTAATTAGATGTGAGTATTCCTGAGTCTGCCGTTTATCAGTCTCTAGGTAGGAAAGGAATTTAAAGATCATCAATTCATTGGATGCTTGAACCTCCTTCAGCTACACAGCCAGCATACAATCAACTTATGTCCTTAAATACCTCCCAGTGATAGGAAACTCATGCCTCTGTTAGCTAATCACTTCGTTGCTGAGTATCTCCCATTGTTCGTTTATTAGTTCTCGTAATGATCTGAAGTCTTCCTCCTTGTAACTCTGCTGGCTTCAGTTCTCTCTTATCCATGAAGGGAAAGCCTAATTCAGTGGGAGTAAACATTCAGTGGGGATAAACTGGTAGACTATGACCAAATCTGAATCTAGACAAGGTCGTTACCCAACACAATAAATTAAATGTGGTTGACTGTGGGTGCTTTGGGTGGGCAGGCACAGCTCTTTTCCTGTAGCCCTACAACTTCCTGCTGTTCACTCCCTGGGAACTTCGTATATTTATGTTACCTGCCTGGACTGGGAAGGGATGTAATTTCACAATTCCTGGTCTAATTCTTCTTTCACATAGTAGTTGATCAGGCACTTGAAGGCTGTTATGTGATGGATAAAAAAAGGGGAGAAAGCAAAAACAGAAAGAAAAAGAATGAAACTGGAAGTAATACAGTCTAGTGAGTTCTTCCTTAAAGCATCACCTTGAGGGTAATGTTTACTTTCTCCATTGATACTGCTTTGGCTCAAAAGGATTTTCAAACTCCTCTTGGAATATTTTTCAGAGCCTGAAGCACGTTCTTTGAATATCCTCAATGGTGGTGAATCCTCATTCTTTGGGGGTGGTTTTGATTTTTGAAAGAAGCCAGAAGTCATTGAGAGCTGAGTGTTGATCAACATGGTGGCTGCTGC